AAGATTCTCTACGATTTCATAAGAAAAAATAACAACTTTTTTTTTTTAAAATTCTTGGACACTGGTGCGTGACTCCAGATTTGGGCCTTGGACCCTGAAAGGGTTAAATCGTATATTGGTCCTCATCCAGGGACACCAAATATAGTCCTGACAAACAGACTGTGACCTCTTTCATTGTTGTATCTCACCTTGTAGAAACGTAGGATCTGATCATATCCCTGTTATAATACAACTACAAACTTCTCCATTTAGAATACCTGTACCTCCTAAACCCAACCTCAACACCCTAGGATTTGACCCCTTCAGGGCATTTCTGGGTGAAGATGAAATTGTGTCATTGGAAAATCTACCTTCCACTGCAATTGACAACGCGATCAGGTCCCTTCACAGGCGAATAATTGATGCTACTAATGCAACTTGCCAGTTAGCTTCCACAAAGATCCACCAACAATATAAACCTAGGAGGGAAATTAGAGATGGTATGAGAAATTATCAAACAAAATGTCAAAGGCATCTTCAAACGCGGCAACCACCAGTAGCTACACGTATAGATTAAGGCAAGAATTAATTAACATGATTAGTTATCATAAATGTGACTTATGGAAATTGCTAGTTCTAAAAGCTAATCAGTATAAATGAGAGCCTGCAAAATTTTGGAGTAAGATTCGGCAACTTTTAGGTGCAAAACACAAGGCTCCTACCTACCTAATTCATACCTTCACTGATGTTAATGATGAAGAGGTTGAGATTAAACTTGATGATCCACAGGACCAGGCTAATTTGATGGGTGATGTATGGGAGAAAATTCTCTCCCACAATAACAGTTGTCGATTTAATAATAATCACTATCAGTTGGTCAATGAATGGAGAGATGAGAACTTAGATGATCTACAACCACTACATACCATCTATACATCAACTCTTGAAGAGGCACACCCGCTTACTAGACCTATCACACTACTTGAGATGAATCAAGTTATTGGAAGAATGTGATATAGAGCCCCTGGTCTCTCTGGAATAACAATGAAACAAACAAAGTTCCTACCCAGAAATTGTAAACAGTCTTTGGTTAATATCTTTAATGCCATCTTGGCCTCCAGACATTTCCCAGTGGTTTTTTAAGACTGCTAGGATGATCTTTCTTGCTAAACCCAATAAAGACATCCATCAACCAGAAAACTATAGACCTATATCCTTACTTGAAGTCACTGGGCAAGTTCCTGAAAAGATCATTTCCAACAGAATGAACTACTATATGGAGTTTAACCACCTTTTTACTGAAAAACAGTTTGGCTTTAGGACACACAGAGGTACCCATCATGCAATAAATATTATTTTTGATACTGTAGCAAGTCTGAAACATCAGGGCAATCTTGCCCTAATTGCCACCAGAGATGTTCATAAAGCTTTTGATAGCTTATGGCATGATGATCTTATATACAAACTTATTGACCTACCTGACCATAACTGGACATTTCTCAGATTTATATATAACTTCTTAACTCAAAGAAAAATCATTCCTACCTTTCATGGCAAGTCAACAGAGCCTTTTATGTTGACAGCTGGTGTCCCACAAGGTTCTTGTCTTAGTCCAGTTCTATTCAACATTTATGTGAATGATCTTCCTCAACCAGAGTTTAATGATACAATTATAACGCAATTTGCAGATGATGTTATCCATGTCATCTCGTCAGCTCCTGTAACAGGAAAATACAAATATGAAAGAGTCGTAGAAAAAATGAATATTGAACTTCGTTGAACATCCAGTTGGGAAAAGAAATGGAGAATTACGACTAACCCTGACAAAGTCCTGGTTAGCACAATAGGATGTTTTGCATCAACCATCAAAGATAAGGGGGGTATCTCCATCAGAGGTACACCTGTAGCCATTAGAAATCCTAACAAGATCTTGGGATATGAAATAGACAGGCTGCTCCACTCAACATCTCACATCAATAAAAAGATCAACATAGCCAAAGCCGGTCTTAGCAGTCTCTTTAGATTTAATCAAGCCCCTTCACATGTCAAAAAACATCTGTATAAAATGATGATAAGACCAATACTCGAATACCCATGTGTCCCAATGTCATTAACAACAAAGACCAACATGCTAAAGTTGCAACGGGTCCAGAATAGAGCTCTCCGCTTTATTATGGGTACCAGGAGGAGAGAGTCAAAATGGCAGATTTACACGTACAACAGGATATTACTGCCTTAAATGTACGCCTTGATACGCTGAAGAAGAGACAACTCTATGCAATGCAAGAACTCTACATACCAGATAGAGAACATACTCTCCAAGTTGAAAATACCACTGATTATATCATTAATACTCCTCCTCACAGGACCCAAAGAATGACTCTCCCACAGAGGGTGCGTCGCTTCATCCATAAAGACAATTACCATCGACCAATGATCTTGAGCAACCTCCCTGCAGATGAAGATGATTGGGTAACACCAGAACCCTTCTATGTCTACTAAGAAAATTATGACCCCTAATTAGGGAGACATCTTGTATAACACTTCTACTTCTTCATCTACTGGTATAAATATGCTACATTTACTATGGCTGGACACCACCTTGAAAGAAGCTAACATGTCAAGTAATTCTTTACAAACTGTCCAGATTACCGCCTTGTCTTGTCGTTTAAATATTCGTTATGCAATCGCAAAAAAAAAGTTGCAACTTGTATATATACTATCAATTCAGAGTCATGTACCTATATATCTGTTATATCTATGTGACTCTGATGGGTTAATATTATACCCCTTCAAGAATATTCTATTATTTCACATACACTTTTCTTCAAATTACACTTTTCAAATTGCACCGAAGTGGTTGGGCCACTTACCTTTTATATCCTACCTCACTCCCCCCTCCCACCCTTTTCCAATATTTCTCTCTCTACCTATCCTTCTTCCTTACCCATCTTACCAAAGGCTCTGGTCATAAGAATTGAATATGCACACACTGCTCTGGGTTTTCTGCTATTTTCTTTCTAGTTCTTGTTCTTGTTTATTTCCTCTTATCTCCATGGGGAAGTGGAACAGAATTCTTCCTCTGTAAGCCATGCGTGTTGTAAGGGGCGACTAAAATGCTGGGAGCAAGGGGCTAGTGGCCCCTTCTCCTGTATAAATTACTAAATTTGAAAAGAGAAACTTTTGTTTTTCTTTTTGGTCCACCCTACCTCAGTGGGATAGGGCCGGTTTGTTGAAAGAAGTATACACACACACACACACACACACACACACACACACACACACACACACACCTGTGTTTTCTTTTATTTTATCTTAATAGTTCTTGTTCTCATTGCTTTTCATTTCATATCCATGGGGAAGTGGAATAAGAATCTTTCCTCAGTAAGCCATGCGTATTGTAAAAGTCAACTAAAATGCCAGGAGCAATGGGCTAGTAACCCCTTTTCCTGTATAGCTTACTAAAAAGAAAAAGAATTGTTTTCAGATTTTTGGGAGTTGACTTGTCAGCGGATAGGTTTATGAAGGATGAGGTTAACCATAGAATTGATGAAGGAAAAAAGGTGAGTGGCACATTGAGGTATCTGTAGAGACAAAAAATGTTAACTGTGGAGGCAAAGAAGGGAATGCATGAAAATATAGTGGTACCAACACTCTTATATGGGTGTGAAGCTTGGGTTGTAAATGCTGCAGCAAGGAGGCAGCTGGAGGCAGTGGAGATGTCCTGTCTAAGGTCAATGTGTGGTTTAAATATTATGTAGAGAATTTGGAGTGTGTAAATTAGGAGGAGGTGTGGAGTTAGTAAATCCATTAGTCAGAGGGCTGACGATGGGTTATTGAGGTGGTTTGGTTATTTAGAGAGAATGGATCAAAGTAGAATGACATGGAGAGCGTATAAATCTGTAGGGGAAGGAAAGAGGGGTAGGGGTCATCGTCGAAAAGGTTGGAGGGAGGGGGTACATGAGGTTTTGTGGGCGAGGGGCTTGGACTTCCAGTAAGCGTGCCTGAGCAAGTTAGATACGAGTGAATGTAGACGAATGGTTTTTGGGACTTGACGAGCTGTTGGAGTGTGAGCAGGGTAATATTTAGTGAAGGGATTCAGGGAAACTGGTTATTATAGATTTAGCTGGACTTGAGTCCTGGAGATGGGAAGTACAATGCCGCACTTTGAAGGAGGGGTTTGGGATATTGACAGTTTGGAGGGACTTCTAAACTGTCGTATCTGAGCGCCTCTGCAAAGACAGTGATTATATATGAGTGAGGTGAAAGTGGTGAATGATAATGAAAGTATTTTCTTTTTGGGGATTTTTTCTTTCTTTTTCGGTCACCCTGCCTCAGTGGGAGATGGCCAGCTTGTTGAAAAAAAAAATGTGTTGCCAAAAAGTTCTCTTTATGCAGAGCATTTGAGTAGATTAAATTGGAACTTAAAACTACTAAATGTGAATTATTGAAGTGAAGATATTCAAAGAGATTCAAGGAAACCAGTTAGCCAGACTTCAGTCCTTTATGTGGGAAGTACAGCACTTTTATTCTGAAGGTGGGGATATTTGCAGTTTTGAGGAGCAGTGTAGTATTGGTATTGGCATACCTTTGACAAGACAGTGATGTAGTTAATGATGGCGAGTGTGTTTCTTTTTCGGGTCACCTTGCCTCAGTATGAGATGGCTGGTGTGTTAAAAAAAAAAAAATCATAATATGTCAGGAACAGTAATTTTTAATCTTACCTTACATTCTGATATATGTTTATTGACAGGTTGTGTTTAGATGGTTGAGTTTGTTGAGAATATTGATTGATGTGGCCCTGCTCTGCCACATTGAATGTAGAGTCTTATCAATTTAACATTAGGTACACATGTAAATTTTGTTAAAATAAATGCCACATATCTTACAAAGGATTTTCAGAAATTAATTAACTCGTAGGTGGTGAACCTTCTGTGTAGGAGTATGAAAAGATAATCTTAGATTTGAATGGCATTGCAGATTTCATGGCAATTACTTAAAATGGTTTCTTTGTGTTTTAGGTGAATTTTTAAAGTTGGACAAGTGGCTGACTGACAAAATTAGAGAACATGGAGAGCCCTTTATATCCTCTTGTATAAAGTTCCTTCAACGAAGATGTCCTCAGCTTATGGGTGGTAAAGAGGACATAATGCCAAAATCTTCACAGCTACCTAATGAGACAATGACTACCATTCTTTTGTGCCTGAATGCATGTGCTATGTGAGTATTTTGTGTCACTTTTACATAACATTTAAAATCATTATAGTATTATCTCGTTTGGAATTTTGCAAAAGCTGGAATTTGTGTTAAATTTAGAATCAGTAAGTAATTTGAATCTTTGCAAAAGTTTCCAATTTATATTTTCAATCTTTTTGTCTAGTAATACTCAGATGCCATAGCCTTAAAGTTTGACATGTGTTGTCAGGGCATGTCACCTGTGACTTGAGTAGTCAGGCCTTTAGGTTATGTAATTTTAAGACTAGTGAGATATAAAATTGTGTATACCAGAATAATTATTATTACATGAGCAGAGATAGTTTAGTGTAGACAACTGTATGGACCTAATCCTGGGAAATAAAATATAGTATCTGTCGATAAATATGGAATATAATTACACTACATTTGGAAAGATTTTGGAGTTACGGTTAGTTGTTTCTTATACATGTAATTGGTTTTAGAAAATTGCTTTCAATATTTTATTGTTTTATACTATACCAGTGGTATGTAGAGTGTACAGCCTTAGTCTACAAGTTAACCTGTAAAAGGTTTTATAAAAAGACTAGTACAGTGGACCCTCGTCTAAAGATATTAATCCGTTAATGAGAGCTCATCGTTAGCCGGAATTATCGTTAGCCGAATCAATTTTCCCCATAAGAAATAATGGAAATCCAATTAATCCGTTCCAGACAGCCAAAAGTATTAAAATTTTTTTTTTTTTTATGAAATATACATTTCCCTACAAAGAAAACATTGAGACATGCACAATAACTATGTAAATAAATGTTAAAGTGACACTTAGCTTTATTGAAGAGTGCTGATGAGTGATGAGACACTGTTTTTCTTGAACACTCTGGGATTTTCAGAGTGATACATGAGTAAAGGCTTCACTTTGCATTACAACAAAACATGAGAGTTAGCCTGTCTTTCATAGGCTTGTGTCCTGGGAGTGCCTTTTCCTCCTGAGTAATGTAGGTCCTGTTTGGCATTTTCTTCCAGAACAGGCCTGTTTCGTCACAATTGAACACTTGGGGTTGGAATTTTTCAGCACTATAAACAATGGAATAATACAAAATGTATCGAATGTATGCATGCAATCGGCCACCCTGGCTTGTAAACAATGACGGCAGGGCAGCTGAGGCGCTCAGGCTGAACGGACAGGTTTGGGAGGAATCACGTTCGGCGAGTTTTTTTTATCGTGAGGCGAGGCAAAATTTTTGAATTCAAATGATTTGTATGGCGGAATTAACGTTATGCTATGCGTTCGTTAGGCGGGGGTCCACTGTATTTCTCAAAATCCTACATAATTTTTATTTTAAAATTGTAAGATTGTGGTTGGGCAAAATGAGAGTTCGAGCCTGGAGTTTTTAATCCCTGTAACCACATACAGGGGTGGGGGTGTGAGCGCATGCTCATTTGCATGCGTAGAGTACTTCACATGGCAATACAGTTGGCCTTCCATATCTGGGTTATGCATCTGTGGGTTCAACCAACCTCGGATCAAAAATATTAGAATTTTTTTTTTTCGCATGCTGAGCATTACACTGAATCCACGTGAATAAAGTCATGTGTAGGCAATATCTAGGGACGACTGTATATGTATATATATAAACAGCCATCTGAGTTTTCTTCTATTTTCTTGATAGTTCTTAACCCTGTCAGTGTCCGTGCTGTAGTACTTCAATGTGAATTCACCTCAGCTCAGATAAGCTGTGAGCAGTAAATTTGGGCCTAGATATGAGAGAATGTGTGTATGCAGTAAGTGTGCAACATATAAAAAAATAATCTTCCAGCACACAGTACATGAGAAAAAACTGTAGCCATGTTTTTGATCTAAAGCAGAGACTTTGTAGTGTATTTTTGTATGGTTTCTAGGGTTGTATTCATGGTTTCTTGGTCTTATTTAATAGACTGAAAGATATGTCACAGAAATAACAATGATTTTGATTGGTTTGAGAACTAAAAATAGCTTGAAATTGAGCTCAAAGTAGCTGAAATATTCGATTTTTGCCGATATTCCAGAGTAAACAAATCACATCACTCGTTCAATACTCATACAACTGGTCGGTCTAATATGCATTCACGAATGCGCTAATGTTATTTATATGATCATTACAATAATGTTATTTAAGTGCCTGGAATGCCTACATTGTCTATCCTGGACCCTTTTTACAAACTGGCATATTTTGAAATTCGTGTGAAATTGGCCAAATTACGAGTTTCTGATCACTTGATTGGGTAGTTGAAATAGTTGATTGGGAAGTTTCTTATGCTTAATTGATAAAATGGAAACATACTAGGGAAGCAGCTAAGAATTTGGTCAACTGGAGCAATGTAATTGGCCTAAAATAGGACTCAAAGAGGGCAAGATTGTTGATGCGTAAACATCGCTGTCACAGCAAAATTTGCAAAAGCATAATTTTGTCAATTTTCCTTCAATTTTAGTACTTTGTTTTATCTTCAGAAAAAGGATTCTCTTTCATTTCTTCCTTCTTCTTCCTTCTTCTTCTTCTTCTTCTTCTTCTTCTTCTTCTTCTTCTTCTTCTTCTTCTTCTTCTTCTTCTTCTTCTTCTTCTCTTCTTCTTTCTTCTTCTTCTTCTTCTTCTTCTTCTTCTTCTTCTTCTTCTTCTTCTTCTTCTTCTTCTTCTTCTTCTTCTTCTTCTTCTTCTTCTTCTTCTTCTTCTTCTTCTTCTTCTTCTTCTTCTTCTTCTTCTTCTTCTTCTTCTTCTTCTCTTCTTCTTCTTCTTCTTCTTCTTTCTTCTTCTTCTTCTTCTTTCTTCTTCTTCTTCTTCTTCTTTCTTCTTCTTCTTCTTCTTCTTCTTCTTTTTCTTCTTTTTCTTCTTCTTCTTTTCTTCTTTTTCTTCTTTTCTTTCTTCTTCTTCTTCTTCTTCTTCTTCTTCTTCTTTCTTCTTCTTCTTCTTCTTCTTCTTCTTCTTCTTCTTCTTCTTCTTTGAAAAATTCATTGGCCACTGTGGACACTCCAGATTATGGGGGTCTAGACACTCAAGAGTGTGGTTCAGTGGCCTGGTGTGGGTGATGATTGGATGATGATGACTGGGTGGGTGGGTGTGCAGTTGGTATAGGCAGTAATGAGTGGGGTGCATGACTTAAGTGGTTAGGTATGTGGACTGCATGTTAGGGTGAAAGATTAGGTAAGGTGTGAGTGTGAGGTTGTGGGAAAATGGTGTGGGACTAGGCAAGGTGTGGTCTTGAGATAGTGGGGGAATAGCATAAGTGTAAGCATGTGATTGTAAGGAGGATTGTGCAGGTGAAGGTGTGTAGTCATGGGGGAATTATAGTGGTAGGTGCGTGGGTTGTATGGGGTGGTAGGAGGCAGGCATGGGTTGGATGTATGGTTAAGGTGTGTGACTGTTGGGGAATTATAAGGGTGGGTGGTACAGGTGGGGGATGTGGACTGTATGGTGTGTGGCAAGGGCATGTGGCTACAGAGAAGGGAAAAGTTGATTGAGCAGTTGGTGTGGGCAGGGGTGCATGATGGCTTTCCAGAAGTGTGCTGACATAAGTTCTATGGAATTTGATGGGCAAAGTAATAACAATGAAGAGGATTGTTCAAACTGGCTAAATATATTTCAAGATATGGAAGTTGGAAACCACTGTATTGTATCTTCCATTGGGAAGTAGGGTGGTGGTAATGCAGTTCATTTGGTTAAAATGGGACTACAATGTTTGCCTTTCATTTATAACTAGAATAAGTGATAGGGCATATGCTTATTTTCCGGAGTCACTTATTTGGAGGGAAATAGCCAGTAATTAAGAAAAAATAATTTCTTTTTTTAATAATAATTCTTTATTGTTTTTCAGAAATGTCTCTCAGGAACTGTCCGACACTATACTGCAAATGGTTCAAAACTGTAATTTGATAAATAGATCTCGTCCACAACAGGTGGGAGTGGTGAGTCATGTGTTTTTCAGCTATTATTTAACCGAAAAGTTTTTATTGCATATTACAGTGTATTAACCCTTTCAGGGTTTCGGCCATACTAGTACGGCTTATGCCCTAGGGTTTTTGACGTACTAGTACGCCTAAATTCTAGCGCCCTCAAATCTAGTGAGAGAAAGCTGGTAGGCTTACATATGAAAGGCTGGGTCTATGTGGTCAGTGTGTGCAGTATAAAAAAAATCCTGCAGCACACAGTGCGTAATGAGAAAAAAAAACTTTGACCGTGTTTTTGGATTAAAACAGCAACTTTGCACTGTATTTTTGTATGGTATTTATTGTTGTATTCTAGTTTTCCTGGTCTCATTTTATAGAATGGAAGACATATTACAGAAATTGAGACGATTTTGACTGGTTTTACAATGAAAAGTACCTTGAAATTGAGCTCAAAGTAGCAGAAATGTTCAATTTTTACCAAAGATCCAAAGTAATCAAATCATGTTAAGCATCCAATACACGTCAGTTGGTGAGTCTAATATTCTTTCACAAGTGTGCTGATATTATTTATACCATTTCTACACTAATGCAGTAGTCTGCATAACAGTAAATCTTCTATTTTTTGTAAGAATAAAAATTCAAAGTGGAAAGACAAAGAAATATAAGAGGGGCCTGGGGATGTGACTAACGAACAGAGAACTTGTTATTTTAGTGCCAGGAATGTCATTCTTGTTTATTCTGGACCCTATTTGGAAATTGGCATCTTTTGAAATTTGTGTGAAATTGGCAAAATTGCTAAATTCTCACCACTTTATTGGATAGTTGAAATCGGTAAATGGGTGGTTTCTTGTACTCATTCGATAGAAAAAAATGGAGTTCTAGCGAAATAGTTATGATTTTTGTTGACTAGTACATTGGAATTGGCCGAAAATAGGGCTCAAAGTGGGAAAAATAACCGATGTGTAAACATCGTCGAGACCGCTAACTTCGCGAGAGCATAATTCCGCAAGTTTTCCTTCAAATTTCATACTTTTGGTGTCATTATGATCTGGAAAAGATTCTCTATCTTTTCATAAAAAAATTTTTTTTTTTTAAATTTGGTGACCCTGAGAACAAGTTTTGGAAAAGGCCTGGGGATCCTGAAAGGGTTAATTGAATTCGTGATTCACAACAGGGACGTATTTTATTTATTGCATTAAATTTTTAATGTTAATTGCTTGGGGTCTTCAGATGTGTTGTAAATGTTTAGTCTTTTCTGCTGCTACTTTGGATTATATATGATGTCTTCAGAATGCCTTTTTTAGTTGCTTTAATTTAATATTTAAATTTTATTTAGAATTTAGGATTTCTTTTTTCTCTTTCCTTTTGGGTCACCCTCTTTTTTGGGTCACCAACATGTTAAAAAAAACTTGGGTTTTTTTTTTTTTTTTAACAAGTCAGCTGTCTCCCACCGAGGCAGGGTGACCCAAAAAGAAAGAAAATCCCCAAAAAGAAAATACTTTCATCATCATTAAACACTTTCATCTCACTCACACATAATCACTGGTTTTACAGAGGTGTGCAGAATATAACAGTTTAGAAGTATTTATTTATTTATTTATTATCACACTGGCCGATTCCCACCAAGGCAGGGTGGCCCGAAAAAGAAAAACTCACCATCATTCACTCCAATCACTGTCTTGCCAGAAGGGTGCTTTACACTACAGTTTTTAAACTGCAACATTAACACCCCTCCTTCAGAGTGCAGGCACTGTACTTCCGATCTCCAGGACTCAAGTCCGGCCTGCCGGTTTCCCTGAATCCCTTCATAAGTGTTATTTTGCTCACACTCCAACAGCACGTCAAGTATTAAAAACCATTTGTCTCCATTCACTCCTATCAAACACGTTCACGCATGCCTGCTGGAAGTCCAAGCCCCTCCCACACAAACCTCCTTTACCCCCTCCCTCCAACCTTTCCTAGGCCGACCCCTACCCCGCCTTCCTTCCACTACAGACTGATACACTCTTGAAGTCATTCTGTTTCGCTCCATTCTCTCTACATGTCCGAACCACCTCAACAACCCTTCCTCAGCCCTCTGGACAACAGTTTTCAGTTTTGGTAACTCCGAAACTCCTCCTAACTTCCAAACTATGAATTCTCTGCATTATATTCGCACAACACATTGCCCTCAGACATGACATCTCCACTGCCTCCAGCCTTCTCATTGCAACATTCATCACCCATGCTTCACACCCATATAAGAGCGTTGGTAAAACTATACTCTCATACATTTCCCTCTTTGCCTCCAAGGACAAAGTTCTTTGTCTCCACAGACTCCTAAGTGCACCACTCACCCTTTTCCCCTCATCAATTCTATGATTCACCTCATCTTTCATAGACCCATCCGCTGACACGTCCACTCCCAAATATCTGAATACATTCACCTCCTCCATACTCTCTCCCTCCAATCTGATATCCAATCTTTCATCACCTAATCTTTTTGTTATCCTCATAACCTTACTCTTTCCTGTATTCACTTTTAATTTTCTTCTTTTGCATACCCTACCAAATTCATCCACCAATCTCTGCAACTTCTCTTCAGAATCTCCCAAGAGCACAGTGTCATCAGCAAAGAGCAACTGTGACAACTCCCACTTTGTGTGATTCTTTATCTTTTAACTCCACGCCTCTTGCCAAGACCCTCGCATTTACTTCTCTTACAACCCCATCTATAAATATATTAAACAACCACGGTGACATCACACATCCTTGTCAAGGCCTACTTTTACTGGGAAATAATTTCCCTCTTTCCTACATACTCTAACTTGAGCCTCACTATCCTCACTATCCCTCCAAACTGCCAATATCCCAAACCCCCTCCTCTAAAGTGCAGGCATTGTACTTGCCATTTCCAGGACTCGAATACGGCTATATAAAATAACCGGTTTCCCTGAATCCCTTCACTAAATATTACCCTGCTCACACTCCAACAGCTCGTCAGGTACCAAATACCATTCGTCTCCATTCACTCCTATCTAACATGCTCACGCACGCTTGCTGAAAGTCCAAGCCCCTCACCCACAAAACCTCCTTTACCCCCCCTCCCTCCAACTTTTTCCAGGATGACCCCTACCCCGCCTTCCTTCCCCTACAGATTTATTCACTCTCCATGTCATTCTACTTTGATCCATTCTATCTAAATGACCAAACCACCTCATCAACCCCTCTTCAGCCCTCTGAGTAATACTTTTATTAACTCCACACTTTCTCCTAACTTCCACTCTCCGAATTTTCTGCATAATATTTACACCACACATTGCCCTTAGACAGGACATCTCCGCTACCTCCAACCGCCTCCTCGCTGCAGCATTTACAACCCAAGCTTCACATCCATATAAGAGTGTTGGTACTACTATAGTTTCATACATTCCCTTCTTTGCCTCCATAGATAATGCTCCTTGTATCCACATATACCTCAGTGCACCATTCACCTTTTTTCCCTCATCAATTCTATGATTAACCTCATCCTTCATAAATCCATCCGCTGATACGCCAACTCCCAAATATCTGAAAACATTCACTTCTTCCATACTACTACTCCCCAATTTGATATCCAATTTTTCTTTATCAAAATCACTTGATACCCTCATCACCTTACTCTTTTCTATGTTCACTTTCAACTTTCTACCTTTACACACACTCCCAAATTCGTCCAGTAACGTCTGGAATTTTTCTTTAGAATCGCCCATAAGCACAGTATCATCAGCAAAAATTTACTATGTCACTTCCCATTTTGTATTTGATTCCCCATAATTTAATCCCACCCCTCCCCCAAACACCCTAGCATTTACTTCTTTTACAACCCTATCTATAAATATATTAAACAACCATGGTGACATTACACATCCCTGTCTAAGACCTACTTTTACCAGGAAGTAGTCTCCCTCTCTTCTACACACCCTAATCTGAGCCTCACTATCCTCATAAAAACTCTTTACAGCATTTAATAACTCACCATGTATTCCATATACTTGCAACACCTATCACATTGCTCTCCTATCCACTCTATCATATGCCTTTTCTAAATCCATAAATGCAATAAAAACTTCCCTACCTTTATCTAAATACTGTTCACATAAATGCTTCAATGTAAACACTTGATCTACACATCCCCTACCCACTCTAAAACCTCCTTGCTCATCCGCAATCCTAAGTTCTGTCTTACGTCTAATTCTTTCAATAATAACCCTACCGTACACTTCTTGGTACACTCAGTAAACTAATTCCTCTATAATTTTTACAGTCTCTTTTGTCTCCTTTCCCTTTATATAAAGGGACTATACATGCTCTCTGCCAGTCCTTAGGTACTTTCCCCTCTTTCATACATTTATTAAACGAAAATACCAACTACTCCAACACTATATCTCCCCTGCTTTTAACATTTCTGTCATGATCCCGTCATTTCCAGCTGCTTGACCCCCTTTCAATCTACGTAATGTCTCTCATACCTCCCCCACACTCACATCCTGTTCCTCACTCCTAAAAGATGGTATACCTCTCTGGCCAGTGCATGAAATTACCGCCTCCCTTTCTTCATCGACATTTAAAAGTTCCTCAAAATGTTCTCGGCATCTACTCAATACCTCCATCTCCCTATCTACTAACTCTACTACTCTGTTTTTATCTGACAAATACATTTGTCCTCTAGGATTGCTTAGCTTGTTTAACCCTTTGAGGGTTTCGGCTGTACTAGTACGGCTTACGACCCAGGGTTTGTGACGTACTAGTACGCCTAAATTCTAGCGCCCTCAAATCTAGTGGGAGAAAGCTGGTAGGCCTACATATGAAAGAATGGGTCTATGTGGTCAGTGTGCGCAGTATAAAAAAATCCTGCAGCACACAGTGCATAATGAGAAAAAAAAAAACTTTGACCGTTTTTTTTTTGGATAAAACAGCGACTTTGCACTGTATTTTCGCATGGTATTTATTGTTGTATTCTAGTTTTCTTGGTCTCATTTTATAAAATGGAAGACATA